CAAATGAAATCCTTGAATCATGAATACTCTGAGGGTGAGCAGCTATTTACTGCAGCTGATCTTGTCTTTTTTATGGCAGTAATACTGCTGGTCAGTGGTAAGACACTCATGTGTTTGCATTTAATCCCCGGTGGGCAGAATTTGAGGTCAGAGCTTATTGACTTTCTATTGTAGTCCCTGGTGAAACAGTCTGCTTCCTTGTCATATATAAAAAACTGATAATGTTATTATTTAATCAAACATAAATCACATCAAGTTATATGTCAGTCACTCAGTTCTCCTGGTTATGCTGCTGCTATAGACCTGATGCTAATCTATTCCATCAAGACTTATGCTACAGCCAAGCTTGTGTTTAGCACAGAGATACTGCTATCTTTGTTAGCAAGTTAGCCAAGGGTTGTTCACATTGAACATTATTTTTTGCAGGGTGACGCTAAGGCAGAAGAACTACCATCTCTGCAGTGAAAAATGATTAATATGATGATTATTACTTAAAGGAAATGATTAAGAAATGATCATAAATGTTCTGCCTTAAGCTGTGTCACCCCGCTGTAGTCCGTAATGGGCTGGTCGAGGTCTCGCTACAAACAAGCGGCTGCTGGACGAGAGTAGGTGAGTAGTATTTAGTCTCTTTGCTGAAGAAATTAGGTAAAGCTTAAAAGATGTTTGGTGGCTAGTGCTGTGGCCAGGACCCTATATGTACTGTTGATGAAGTTAGGTGCTGTTCTGAGCATTATTTGTGGTTATAGAGCGATGTTTTGGTTGAGGTTTGTTTATGGCTCCTCAGAATGCTGTGTATTGCTATCGTGCGGTCGTTTCCGCAGTTGGTATAAACTAGAGAAGCAAGCGGTCGGCAACGTTGTGTTTGACCCTAAATTAATTTTATGCAGGAATATCCCTTTAAAGCCTGTCTCCTACCAAAAGAGATGTGAGGCTCATTGAGTCGGAAGACCCAAGATTTTGTTCCCTAGTTAATCTGAGATTGAGTTTTAATTAGATTGCTCGTATTCACCACTTCAAGAAATCTCTATTAACATGTTGGTATGCTTGTCCACTGTCTCACTTATTCACATGAAGTCCTTTATTCCTAACTTCCCTCGTCTCGTAGATTCCTCAAGATTACTGCTGCAGAAGTCCTGCTGCTGTGGACCTGCCTGCTTTTCAGCTGCTTCAACTACCATGCACGCACTTGCTCCATTATTTTTGTCACTGTAACCTCATATTTGTATGTAAAGTTGTTGTTGTTTGTCTCTTTTTATGCATTTCCCTCTATCCCCTTTCTAATCCCAACACAGGAGCAGCAGATGATCGTCTAACAAGTCTTGACCGGCTCTTTTGCCAACATGGATTGGTTGTCAGCGTTGTAGCATTTCCTGATACGCATTTAATTCTTATGAATAACATCACTTTTACAGGACTACTATCTTCTTTTGCGATGGTGTAAAGAAAAAAGTGTGAATTGGTGATTCTGGTGGATTGATCTGCTACAGTTCATGAACAGCATATTAACCAGCACAACTTCAAGAAAGTGCGTCTAACTCTTTCCGAGAAGCTCTGAGTTATTATTTCAGACATCTTCTCACAACAAACTACACAAATCGCTCAGCATTTCAAATATGCATATGGTGATTTGATGCCAATAGCAAAATATATCGAACTCCTCACCAGAGTTAGTTAGAACGTCCCTGAGCTAAAGGTTTTATTGGTTGTTTTTCTTCTTCTTCTATGTGTGAGTAAACTTCAGCCATGAACCTTCGCATTTGGGTATTAGCAGTTTTTTTTTTTTCTCTCAGATAGGCTGACAGGCCTAACCTTGTCTGCCTTTCCAAACATATTGATTAGCCTGTGAGAAGGGAGAGGCCACGAGAATGAGAGCAGAGGCTAAACTTGGGGTATTACACTTTTCCACTAATGGTATCCAATTATTTCACAATGAGGTGAAAAGTTATGAAGTGTTTTTAAAGGAATGATTCTTTGTGTCTTTAAAGCTGTTGAAGTTTTGACAAAGGAATAAAAGAATTGAATAAAAGTGGTGCGATTATCAGAAGTAAAAGAATAAAAGAGCGAAACCGAAGCTGCAAGATGACTTCATGATAAAGCTACGAGTCGCGATGACAACCCTCCAGAAATCGAGGATGCCTTCGCTGTTTGTGCGCTTAAAAAAACAACCATTTCTCATCGATTTGAAGAGGAAGATTTACCAACTTCTCCAAGCGAGGACATTCAACGAAATTTCAAATGGCAGTGTCAGAGAAAAAAAAAGAGAGAAAGCTAACCCCCGTGCCTTTGTTGTTCTCCTTTAATTCTGTTAATCGCCCCCAGGTAAAGATTAGCTGCTCTTGCCAATTTAATTCAGCCTCAAATGATGCGGCTACAAGGTCACTTTTTCTTGTCTTCCTCTCTTCCTCTGTCTCTTCATTCAACCCCACCACCACCACCTCCTCCTCCTCCACTTCCCCCCTACTCACCCCCCATCCCATCTCCCTCTCTCCTCCATTTCTCTTTCCGTGAGCAGGATTGAGTTGTCATGTAGTTCTAATAGGCAGCACAGGGAATCATTAGTCCACCTCGGCTCCCTGACTGATGGGTATTTCACTCCAATCATCTGAGTACTGTGCGTGTGTTTGCGTAGGTGTGTGTATGTGTGCGTGTAGAGCGAGAGAAAGAGCAGGAAAGCACCCACCCCTCCACCCCTCTACCCCTCCACTCAGCGCGCACTCGCACACACACACACAGGAATCCTCCAACACCAACTCCCCCTCCCTTTGCTGTATTGTGCGCCTGCCGCTATTGACGGAGTGTCAGAGCTGAGGGGAGATGTCTTAATCAACTTGGACACACTGGGCATTGATTTGACAAGCTGCTGTAATGACCTTCTTGTTTTCGTAAAGGATCACTGTTTATCTGGGCCACAACTGATGCGCCGAGCATGCCTCATTGTCATGGAAACTATTATCACGGCTGGATTGGGATAGGGCTCGGTCTTTGGATCTCTCTCTTTCATCCTCCGTCGCTCTCTGTCTCCGTCACGCACATATATTGATATTGATATGTTTGAGATGATGTATAGAAACCAGATGTGTGTGAACTGTGTGTGTGTTCTCGATGTTTAACACTTGCAGTCAAAGTTGTAGGGGTCAAAGGGAAATGCTTTAATGGTGTCGACATCTCTCACATCAATGGTATGGAAATCATTACAGACTGGATGCATTGACTGAGAGGGTTCAGTAACCCCAAGACGGCTGAATCACTTATCTGCCCACAAGAAAAATATTTCAAATGTTGACTCATTGATTCGCTTAATGACCCATAATGACATTTAAACAGACAGTTTATTCTCAGTGGGATAAAACTGAAGCAAAACATATATCGATATTTATAGATCATCTTTGAAACGGATGGAAAACCAGTTTCACAATCGTATTTTTGCAGTGTTATTTAGGATTAAAATCTACTTTTAAATAAAGTTGTCAATGTTCTGGAAAGCTGTTTGGAAGTGGAAGTAACTCAGACATGGTTAAAGCTCCTGCTTGGAGTTTTTGCTGCTGCTGCTCTGCCTGCTTTGGCTTTTCATGCATCAAAATACCAAGCCCCTGTCCTAGAGAGCCAGCAGAAGGGGGTGTAGGATCTTAGAGACCCACACTGATGAAAATCATGTTTTTCTTGTTGTCCACGTGTTCATATGACATTTTTCTGATGCTACAGGACACATCATGAGAAAAATAAGTGTGAAATTGCATTTCTGAGTATTTCTGCGTTCAAATCGCGGTGAACCTCTCACAGACCCCAACAGCAGACTCAGACACAGTGAGATTTCTTACATCACAACTGCAAGCTCCGCCCCCGGAGCCCCACTATTCAGGCCAGACTTGGAGAAGTAGAGAGGAAGATCACGGAACAAGTGTGTGCATTAGCGGATGGCAATGCTTTTAAGAAAGCTAATTATGATATTAACTTTCATCATGTCCCCAAAGACATTAGTGTCCTAGAGCTAAATTGCTCCTGTGGTACCTGCCACTTCTACTACACCTGCAATGTTAGGCTGCAAGCTAGCATGAAGAGGAGTGTGCAGAACAGCGCTGTCTCCGATCACGACTCAGAAGCGAACTGCTAATGAGCTACTGGAGCTCTGCAGAAGAAAAGCCCTTGAAAATGACACAGGTGACGTAAATTTTGGCTAAAAACGTCATGATCACAATTTAAAGACCATTGATAACACTTGAGGTAGTAAAAAACGATTGGAGTGGGACTTTAAATGCACCGTTGGAAGTGGGCTGTCGGAGCTTTGCAGGGAAATTACTCTAGGGAGATTTTTGGCTAGGAAGCGGCAAATACTATAAGTAAACAGATGCACAGGGGTGGCAGAATCAACCAAATTTCCCTAACTCTAAGTTTAATGGTGGACACTCTTGACAACACTTTGAATGTATGGTGACTTGTTGAAGCAGCTTAAATAAGAGTACTACTAATAAGTCGTGTTTTTGTGTTGATTACAAATTGGCAACAAAGTAAAATTCAGTTTAATTAAAGAGTCCTGTGAGGGACTATCAGTCTACGTCAAATCTCCAGAGGATTTGAGCTTCTACAAAATACGTTTTCAATCTCAGCCCTTTGAAAATATGTTTCTTCTTCCTCTTCTGAGATCAGGCCGTCTTTCCCAGATCATGTGACATTGATTTCTTAATATAAATTATCCTCTTTCATCAGGAAGCATACACTTGAAGACGGAGAGACGGATCCCCTTTGTTTGTTTTCAGGCACTAACATTTGAGCGGTGTTGTGCTCCATCACCTGGTTCACGGCCACAGGCACACCCTGCCGCTCTAGGAGAAGACACTGCTGAGTCGATTTGCAGGGATCTCAGGTTCGGGGCGCTGTCAGCTTCTGTCAGGGCAATCAGCAACACTCAGCCTCCCCTGAATAGCCCGCACAGCAGACGGTAAATATTATTGGCATTCTGACACCCTCTCGCTGCGACCAAGTGTGTAAAATTGTTAATAAGGAACATGATGGTGCCACTGCATGCTGTCGAGAGAATGGAAAAGCTTGCTCTTGTTGGCAATTATCCAAATAACAGGACGAGGCGTGTAAGGACAGGTGATTTAAGTCCTCGGCAGAGTGGTGGAGAGGTTTGTTTTGGCGGGGAGGAAGTGAGGAAAAGTCACAGGGGTCATATTGTAAATAATGTCCTTGTGCTGCAGCCATCAATTCAGCTTCTTATAAACTATGCATGGACACCCTTGTATGCACTGTTTGGGGAAATAGCTAAAGACGCTACCCATAGCCTCTTTAACACTTAAGGGCCGTTCTATATTATGTCTGATAGTCATCTAAACAATACTAAAACAAGAAAAGGTTGTTGTTGTGTCAGCTTTAAGTACAACGGAGAAAAAGCATCTTGTTTACAGAAATTCACAGTTATTAGTTATTTCTACGCCTCCCCTGAAAGTCTCAATGTGACACCGCGATAAGGCGAGCACTTTTCCCCCCCTTGCATAGCACACGTAAGTCATTATTTTTAAAGGCGCAGTATCTCCAAGTCGCAGAAGGACACGTTGATAGCAGAATAAAGTACACACTCGTAAACGTTTATGCCAGTGTTTCTCACTGTATGATTACATTTTTATGGTTCATATTCTGATATGGCTTGTTTTTGCTGCCACTGCCAAAGCAATGAGACAGGCCCAGAGGTGGCATTTCTTCTTTGCTTTATGGGGGAGAGTTGGTGGGGGGAGAGTCCTGCTCGGTTTCGTTCGGTAAACACACTGCCAAGCTAAATGGCTGATCAATCAATTTCAGAGGGATCGATCTGCATCAGTTCTGCCTGCATGCACACACCCGGAGCCACTTTATTGTAAATCAATCATTTTGAAAACAACTCACAGAGGGGCCCGTCCTCACTAACAAGCCATCAATTCCAGCTGCCTGTGTAGCACCCTTATCAGGCCACAAATCAACAGCCACACAAACATCTGCTCCATTTCCATCGCTTTCCCCCTCTCCCTAGCTCTGTCTTTTCACCCCCGCCGCTTGTCGTGTTTTTGATGGTGTGTCTGGCGAAGAGGAGAGAGGAGGAGAGGCTGCGAATCTTCACCACACCACTTAAGATAACCCAAGGGTAATAGTGTTTGCACATTTGAGAGAGAAATGAGGACAAATGCCAGGGTGGGTCATACATTCTCCCTCTGTCCGGCTGTTTGACGTTGGAGTGTGAAATTGCACACTTCAGCTGAGGAGCGAGGAGGAGGAAGAGGAGGAGGAGCAGGCAGGGCTGAGAGATGTATGAGATGTCCACTGATTTCTAGCTATGAGAGAGAAGAGGGTCGACGACTGAGAAGTCATCCTGCCTCATCATAACACCTAAAGATTGGTGCTGCTTATGATGTTTGAAGGATTCTCGGGAGATATCTGGGTACCCTTGACACAGGCGACACACAGCCCAGTGCTGAGTGTCTAAAACAGATGATTTCAGCGGGGATATAATAACATTGTGCGTAAAGGGTAAAAAATCATTTAACTTTGGCTCTGTTTAATGACATGCTTATCATCAGACGGCTTTTGCTCAGACATGTTAAAGCTCCAACGGGGGAAAGAGGATTACCTTCTCGATGTATCATGTCTTTCTGCAATAGCTGTATCTTTAAACCCAATCCACATTTAGATGCTGCACACCTCGATGTGCTGCACAAACATTTGCAGCGCTGACATGACAGCCAAGTGAAGATACCTGGTATGATGTCCTTTGCTCATCTGCTGTCACCGTCTCCGCCGAGATATACGAGCCAGTGTGGACAGAATGTGATTCGAATGCTATTCCCACCCATCACTGTGGATCCCCATTGATTGACAGCCTGACAGGTGAAAGTGATGGAGCAGCTAATAGCATGTCAGTTAACGTAAATCAAGACTAATGCCGGGCTCAATGGATAAGCGGATTGGCGCTGCGACTTGGACCATGAGGTCATCGACCCCTCAGCAGGACTGGGATTGATAAAATACAATATACGTTTAGCAGAGGTTCTCCTGGTGATAGTCAAGGTCAGACGCTAGCTCTAATGCAAGTATACAGTCCCAGTGTGTTTTATGTGCTCTGCGAAAATACACTGATATTTGACTCCATTCCTGATGGAGGTGTGGATCAAAGAACTTGGTGATCTGTATGATTTTTAAATCTTGTTTTGTTTAACTGCACCCAGGTGGCGCTATGAAATATCTCAAAAAAATTAAATAAAATAAAAATCTGTAATATTGCTATAGATATGCACAGCCACATGAAATTTAGAACACAGGTCTTGAGGGGAGTCCTCTTGAGGGCTTCAATGTTATAAATGGAGATTCAACTAAAAATGGCTCCATAGCGCCCCCTACAAAATTTCAAAAATTAAACCCCTCCCCTGTGTTTGACCTACAGCCATGGAATTTGGGATGCTTATGAAGGACCTTAAGAAAAAAAAAGAAGCCTCATGGACACATTGGCCACACCCTATCGGAAGATGGCCATATTGGTTTGAAAATTTGTATTTTTAAATTTTCGCCCATTTTTTAAGCTTCTTTTAAAAGGTATCTCCTCCTTGGAAATTAAGAAAAGAAAGCTGAAATTGCAGCTATGATATTTTTTATCATAATATACTTTGACGTTTTATCGTACTATTCTGTTACATTTATTTCTAACTTTAAAATGATATATGAATATCATACTTAACTAAACTGAACTAAGACTAAAATGTAATTTTTTATCATACTATACGATGACATTTTTATCGTATTACACTATGACATTTTTATAATTCTTTACTGTGATATTTTTTTCTTTCTAAAAAATAAAATTTTTATCATACAATACTATGACTTTTTTCATACTGAAATTTTTGTCATAGAATTCTATGTCCTTTTTTATCCTACTATACTATGACATCTTTTTTATTTCCAAAATTTGAAACTTTAATACGAGAATATTTTTACTTTTTTTTCTAAAATTTAAAACATTTATCATACTATACTATGACTTTTTTTATTTCAAAAATTTGAAACTTTAATACGAGAATATTTTTACTTTTTTTTCTAAAATTTAAAACATTTATCAAACTATACTATAACATTTTCTATTCTGAAATTTGAAATTTTTATCGTACGATACTATGACATTTTTTCATACTGTACTATGACATTTTTATCTTTTTTAAATTTGAAACTTTTATCATAAAATACTTTCCCTTTTTTTCTAAAATTTGAATTTTTGATCATACCATACTATGACTTTTTCATACTGAAATTTGAAATTTTTATCATAGAATTCGATGTCCTTTTTGGCATACTATACTATGACATTTTCTTCTTTTTTTTAAATTTGAAAATTTTAACAAGAAATATTTTCACTTTTTTCCTTAAGTTCAAAAACTTTATCCTACTATACTATGACTTTTTTATCGTATTACACTATGACATTTGAAACTTTTATACGAGAATATTTTTATTTTTCCTCTAAAATTTTAAACATTTATCATACTATACTATGACTTTTTTCATACTGAAATTTGAAATTTTTGTCATAGAATTCTATGTCCTTTTTGTCATACTATACTATGACATTTTTTTCTTTTTTTAAATTTGAAAATTTTAACAAGAAATATTTTCACTTTTTTTCCTTAAGTTCAAAAACTTTATCATACTATACTATGACTTATTTTCTTTCTAAATATCGTTCTTTGTTGTCACATTTTTTCTTTCTAAAATATAAAATTTTTCTCATACTGTAATATTAGTTTTTTTCTATTATACTATACTATGATATTTTTTACTTTTACCAGAAAAGATTTTCCCCTTTTTTTTCTAAATTTAAATTTTTTTATCATGGTATACCATGCCTTATTAACACTAAAATTTGAAATTTTTATCTACTATACGATGACATTTTTATCGTATTACACTATGACATTTTTATAGTTCTTTACTGTGAAATTTTTTTCTTTCTAAAAGATAAAATTTTTATCATAGTATACTTTGACACTTTTATCATACTACAATGTGATATTTTTATCATACTATACTATGAGATTTTTGTCATACTATACTATGACATTTTTTTCTTTTTTTAAATTTGAAAATTTTAACAAGAAATATTTTCACTTTTTTTCCTTAAGTTCAAAAACTTTATCCTACTATACTATGACATCTTTTTTATTTCCAAAATTTGAAACTTTAATACGAGAATATTTTTCCTTTTTTTTAAATTTAAAACATTTATCATACTATATACTATAACTTTTTCTATACTGAAATTTTTATCATAGGATACTATGATATTTTTTCATACTGTACTATGACATTTTTACCTTTTTTAAATTTGAAATTTTTATCATAAAATACTTTCCCTTTTTTTTCTAAAATTTGAATTTTTGATCATACTATACTACGACATTTTCATCACACTATTCTCTGATATTTTAATCAAACTAAACTATGAAAAATTTTCATACCATACTATGACTTTTTCTATACTGAAATTTGAAATTTTTATCGTAGAATTCTATGTCCTTTTTGTCATACTATACTATGACATTTTTATCATTCTATACTATGATATTGTTATCATATTTTTTTAATACTTATATATGTACTTATATATATGTATATATATATATATACAGCATATACTCTATTTTTTTTTAATATATATATATTTAAAATGCTGCAGAAATCCTTACCTGTTTTTACCCCAGAGCAGCTTTGGTGGAGTGAAACATCAGGTTTTCTAATTTCTGATTCAAATCTGTGTCCCTTAAAGGTATAGTTAAGTTTATCTCTGTTTCAGTCAGGATTAATTAAATTAAAAGTGATGTGAAAAAGGAAAGCTTTTTTTCACTCTTTATATATGGCAGGAATAAAAAAAAATAAGAGGAGAGTTTCATTGTTTAGAACACAAATACATCCATTTTAATTTGAGAAAATACAAAAAGAAACCATGTACAATCTATGTACAAACCTTTTGTACAAGACAGTATATTTATCAGCAGATTATATTTGACAGAGTCAGGTAGATCAACTCAGCACCATCAAATAATCCATTTATCTCTCTTATCTAGAACACATCCAAACTAATTAGACTGCTATGTCAAAGTCCTGTTCGCTGCAATGACGATGTGCCAACAAATCTTTTCTGTGATACGCAAGAGCAATGTCCTGAATGTTTCCTGAACTGTTAGGCAGCCAAAGAAATTAACAAAAAAAATTGCAACTTTTCTTAAAAAAAGGAAACATCAAAATTGCTGAATGCAATCTCAATGTAATATTAAGACTTGTGACCCACCTCCTATCCCCATAAGTATTAAATCTCTTATAATATCTAGTACAATTCCCAGCAAATAAGTTATTATATCCATCCTTTACAGCAAAAAAATAGATTAAAAAAATTAATGCAACATACTGTGACAGCAACATATATGACGCATCAGTCTTTGATTTGTTTAGTGGACAACATGTGATGTTACAGGCATTGGGCCTCTATCTGCATCTTTCAGCCATTCATATTAAACTACTCTACAAGTCACAAGCTAATAACAAGGAGCCAATCACAGAGCAGATATGGGTCCCATATCTCTCTGCCCCAGCAGCCCCTCAGGCCTTCTGAATGCCACTTTTCGCATCAGTGGGACTTAACATGGGCCCTCCTCTTGATCTCGTGCACTGCCTGGCACCATACTGGCATGGAGGCATTGATGGCTTGGATGTTCTCCATGTCAGTACAAGTTCTCACAGTGGAAAATACTTGGACACGGCTTGCTTGAAAGCCAGCGTGTGTCCCTGAATGACTGAAGGATGCTTGCTTAACTAAACTTTTCATGGCACTTCAAAAACACTCTAAATTTTTTAGAGGTATACAATGAAAAAAAAAAAAAAACATCTAAAAAGACACATGACAAAGGTGAAGGAAAAAGAGACATCGCAGTCCAGTGTTGTAAATAATGCCTGAATGAGTCGCACAATAAGGGTTCAGGTAGAGAAAAAGCACAGTAGTCAAGTGTAATGAAAACAAACGGTGCATTACTGTGTGAGTTTATGTTAATGCTAGTTTGCAGCATTTACTGTTGAATTTCTGAGCGATGCTGTGTTAAGTACCTCAAAATATACTCTGTAAACAAATAAGAAGCAGTTGTGGCGAATTGTGGCGGATGATAAGCTGACAAAATGGAATGTAAACCCTGCAATAACACAAAGAATTCAAAAAAGGACAATTAAGGATGTTTTCTCTTTTGATAACCTTTACTGAATTGGTGTTACCTCTCATCCTCATGATGGCTGATAAACCAGATCAAAGTCTGCCTGACTTTTCCTACCTGAATCATCTCTACATCCCTATAAGAATCCAAGATCGTTCGTTTTCAAGATACATATTTGTCTTTTTTTTCAGCTTAACAATCACTTTGTCGATTCTATGTATAATGAGTCATCGCCATTATCAAAAAATTAATAGTTCCTTATTTTCAGGCTAGCAAGTGAGCCGTTAACCACCCAATTATACATACATTTAACTAACATATTTTCCGAACAGAAATCTATTTGCTACAAAGTGTGACAACGATGTAATCACAGTTCAAAAGTTCACTTCAGGACAATGTGTATGAGGCTTCAGTATAGTTGCACCACACCCAACAGACAGACATTGAAGCTCAGATCATTTGGTTTGAAAAAGAAATGTGGCCTATATTATGGATTGAATTTACACAGACATATTAAGCACAAGATTATGTTCTTTTCTGTATTTCCAAATTGTATCAATAACTTTTCTTTTACAGCCCACAGAGTCATGTTTAGTGGAAAACACCAGCACACTGTGCAGTCGTGTACCCACTGTTCATCCACATCATAGACCTAATTTAGGTCAGTTATCTAATGAAGGTGTCCACTTCTTCTCTGCACATAATGTGATCCTTATTTCAACCTCTCTGATCTGCTCTTCATCTAAGCACATTTAACCCCCAAACTTCTACATCTATTCTCTGTCTGCATGTTGGCAGCTAGCAATGCTCAGCAGTAGACATAATATTATTCAGTATTAATCGTTCATCTTTGCAACTGAAAGAAACGAGCATTTGTTTATTTCTACAAGCACTCAACAGAGCTGAGCTGCCAGGCTGAAGATTGTGGTTTTTTCAAAATGCAAGCTAGTCCAAGCTTCACTGGCTCCAGAGTGATGCAGTTTGTTGTACAGGGGGGGCATAAAGGTGATAAAAAAATATTTTTTTTGTTTAATGTGATGGTAAATGAAGATGATATAGTCGAAGACAAATCCTTTAACATATGTAGAAACCAAAGATATAATT